GCTCCTTTGCTGTTTCTCACCCCCCCCCCCCTTCATCATTTAATACCCCTCCTCACCCCTCTTCTCTGTTTCCTCTCCAGGAGCTGAAGCTACCGGTTTACCGGGCCCACTCTCCACAGATTGGTATGCGCCGGTACTTTGCAGACTTGTTGGCCATCCTGAGTAATCGCTACCAGCTATGTCCTACAGCGCGACACCTCGCCGTCTACCTGCTGGACTTGTTCATGGACCACTATGATGTAGCTGTTAAGCAGCTCTATGTCATCGCCCTCTCCTGTCTGCTCCTAGCAAGTAAGTCAGCCTTTCAGCCTCTTTCTCTACACCTTCCTACATGTTTGTTTTATGTTTTTTCGCAGTTCTTCGCTTGACAGAACATTTATTTAAAGACAACCCCTCTTTTTACCCCTTAAAACTCCTAAATCTTGTAAAGAGCTCACTTTACTTTACTAAGATTAGATTTTGGTTTCATCATGAATAGCATTGTATTTTGATCTATAAATGCAGAAGAGCTACACTCTTAATCTTCCGTGCTAAAAGAGATACTGTGACTGTGGTTTATGCACAGATGGCAAGGTGAAACACTTCCTGCAACAAGCCTAATTTGAGTTACGCTCAAGAGACCATGATGGTATTTTGTTCTTCTAGTTTTCAGACAGATCTGATAGCCTGTAATGACAGTTTACTGTAGCTGCAGCGTTGGTTTAAAAAAAAAACCCAACAAGTTGCCATTGTGGTGGAATGACTGTACCATTGTTTTCAGAGAAACTGTTGGGGATTGTGCTCGTGCAGAACATTTTGTATGTCTTTTATCTTGGCTGTACTGACATGTGTGAGTCTGCTGTTGTTACTTTAGTCCCATTCAGTCAGTTTGAGATGAACTAGTATCACACCCACTAAGGTCAGAATGTCCTCTAATCAAAGGTGTGATTTTTTAAATTTTCATTGAAAGCATGTGATTCATCGCATGTGATTCATCGCAGAGGACAACCTACCCACAATCCCCATACAGATCCATTTTGGCCTAAGGTTTATTCTCTAGGTTTATTCTCAACCTATGTTTTCATACCTAAATCATTATTATCATCTTATTGTCAAATATCACATTAAAAAGGACCAAAACTAACAGTACATTGATCCTACTAACAAATATTGTCTTTGTAGCCAAAGCCTGGTGTAGCTTGTTCCTCTGTGCCACAGAGCTCCGTTGTTGTCCAAAGACGGCGCCATTTTCCTGGGTGACATGTTTCTTCACTACCATGAACATGTGCTCAGTAGTTTATTTTGAGTCAATCACATGTACTCATTTCAGCACCAAATGTGTAGTAATCCATGGCTGAAAGTAGTCTCCAACAAATGCACAGTTCCCTCCAGTTTGAGTAAGGTCGGTAGCGAACAGCCACAGGCAGGATAGGGAAGTTGGAAGGTCTTTTCATGGGATTTGTTAACAAAATATATAGAATAACGAGCCTTATCCTTTTAAATTGCTGTTTGCCTGAAGACATACTTGGTGATTGCATTGTGCAGATAAAAAACAATCACGTCAAAGCTTTGGATTTCAGTTCCTAAATATCTGTTCTTCCCTCAACTGATGACGGGTTGATGTTATTCTTTGCTTGTAGTTGCTTCCTTTCTCAAGCTGAAGTGAGTGAAGTGATGATTCAGTCAACTAGTAACTAGTAAAATGCTTCTCTGCTGTGAAATGTGAAATTGTGTCTTTGTGTGTGTTTTGTGTAATGCAGGTGTGTTAATCACTCTTCCCCTGCTGATGCATGGTGCAGGATGTGTGGTAGTTATTAGTGTCTCTGTGTCTGTCGGGTGATTAACAGACTGTGAGGTTTTCTGTACATTAATGCAGCCCTTGGAATCATGGGTAATTAGACTAATGATGCCGTCAAAGTGGGAGTCTGGAACAGGGCTCGCTCACTTGGGAGGCCTCTGTGTGTGTGTGTGTGTGTCAATGTGTGTCAATGTGTAGTCACACACAAGCCATCTTTGCAATCAGAGTAGTTTCTGTGGTGGGATAAATTTGAATATGAGACTTGGAAGATGTTTTATTTAAAAGCAATCTCATGAGAATCCAAGAATAGCTTTGAGAGTTTTCTCATGGAATGATATAAATATTATCAAGCCAACCTGGACAGAGGTTCTTCTTATATTCTCTAATAGAATAATCAGGTTTTTTATTGAATCTTTTGATTGTGGCTTTCAGTTAGTCAGACTCCCTCCGCTCCGCTCCCCTGCCTCTGACTCCTCCAGGACTCTACGGAGTCTCTGCCATGATTGATGAAGGCTTGAAAGGGCGTTTGATTCAAAGTTGTCTTGGTTTTTTTTTATCTGTCCTGAGGTGCTTTGGAATCTGGCCTAGTTATTGAACAGCCTCCCCAGGTCCCACTGCCTGCCTTAGACTGGGACATACATTGTCTTAAAATTTTTCTGGCTTCCACACTCGGTTAATTAATCGCTACCTCTTTTGTGCCTCTCAGCAGTCACTGCTTAATCCTGTTACTCTATTATGTGTGTTTGTTCATGGATGAGCCCTTCTTCATTTGCAGGAGAAAGATTGTGATCAGTTTTTGTTTGAGAGTTATTGACTGTTGGGCACTTATTTAGAGACCTCTCCTCATTCCAGAAAATCCAATTACTCAAGGAAACCAAAATCCTGGCTAATTCAATGTGAATTTTATGCTGAGTATTACGCTATGACCACATTGCTGAATATGTCCATTCTAAAAACCAGTCCTCATCCCCAAACTTCAGTTTCTATTGTGTTACATTCCATGAAGTCCTGCAGTTATCACATCAGTCTTCCTGGCAGATCCTGGTCCCTGAAGTCACAGCTCTGCATACTGCAGCTATTTGTTATGGTAAATGACATCATGGATGTGCCTCTACTGCCAGCAAGAACAAGAATGTTATAGATTTTGTTTTGTTGTTGCAGTGTTTTACTCTCTATGCATTTTGTTTTTGATTATAATCACTGGATAACATTTGGATGTATTCTGTGGTGGTTCTTGTTAAAACTGGATTTTATCCATGTTATTCAGTGGACCTGGTTTAGCCCTCTAAACAAAACAAAAAAAGAGCATCCTGTGAAACGCAGTCATGTTGACTACACAGTGCACTTACATAGGCCTCAAAGCCCGGGGGTGGGGAGGAACTGTGTGCTGAGGGGCACCTGCCATATGCTCTCTGAGTCAGGCCTCAAACAAAAGCTCGTCAAATGCAAGCAGGACAGGCAGCCAGGCAGCCAGACCCTTCCCAGAGAGGGGGAGGGGAGCAGAGACTGAGGGTTGGAGGTTGTTGTGTGTGTGTGTGTGTGTATGGTTTTTGCTAAATGAGGAGATGGTTGCTGTGGCAACCTTTGGCTAAACCTATGGCCTTTTTTTCATGTGATCATCTAATTAAGATTCACATTGAATTCTAATCCATTAGAGAATTTCTTATTTAAAGGGCACTTCTTTACAGCCACATAACCATTTAACCGACTGGGCTCTGGCGGTGTCCTTTTACCTTTTGCTGCTGGCTCTGTTTCCTCTTCATTCTCTCACCTTGTCAGGGTCGGGCATAGTGAGCTAGTCCTGGGACAGGGCGGCCAGTAAAAGCAGCCCCACGTCCCCGGGGGGTTGGGAAACGAGTTGAGCGATACTTCAAAGGCAGGTCGGCTACTGATGTTGAACAGGGTAGAAAGGAAGGTAGAGGTGGTGGCCTGCAAAATGGGACATGTTAGAACTGAACCACCCAGCAGGGTGCCCTGAAATTTAGATTAATGGGGAGCCCACTTCCTCCTCGATCCCCCTCTCGGAGGTTTGACAATAATTCTGATGGAGCTGCCATCACGTGGGGCTCTCATAATTAAAGAAATTATGTAAAGATGTACAGATGGGTTGGTAAAAGTTAATATTATTCATTATTATCAGATGCTACCAAAGCACCAGTTCACCTTGACAGCTCCTGTGTATCTGTAAGTATGGTGTAAATGTTAGAATTTAATTATATTTTGTGTTTTGTTGTTTGATGCCTGAGGCTCTGTTTGGCCACAGTGTCAGCCCTCATCACCGGTACGGCTTGGGGTTTTACACACTCAGTCGATGAATCCCCCAAAAACACGCCACACACACACTCGCACACACATATATAGGGCTGGATTTCTGGGATTCTCCTTGGTCAACCAGGCATTAGCATCAGGGGTCAAGGGTCAGCCCAAGCCTACATTGTGAGAGCTGCCGGGGCCAGAGGTGGCAACACGGAGATTGTGTGATGGAGCTGTGACCAATTTCACACTCCCAATGAAAGATGAACCGACAAATAAAAGGAGTTTAAAGAGCAGAGGAAATTCCTCCATGGCTGTCAAGTGAAAGAGAAAAAGAAGTAGAGAAAGAAAATGGAGAATGCCTTAAATCTTCACATGAATCTTTATTGGCAAGAGATTTTTGAGATTAAATTATAAGAGTAGATAACAGAAAACAAAAATACATCCACATATTTTCCTTTATACGTCCTGTTGATGGATTCATTTGTTGCTCCACTATAATGTCCCCATGTTGAGCTGTATTATGTCAAATTGTCCCATTTTTCTTCCAGTTGTTGTAGCACTTTACATACACCAGTTATTTTTTGGTGTTTCCAAATATATGTGAGTGATCTCCATCAAACTCACGCTCTCTGACATATCGAATTGAAAGTGGCCATCGGGATTTATTTGTGGGTAGATTTAGTTTTTTTTATTGGACAATCAAAACTGTGAAAGCCTACATTTGGTCACCTTACATTTCATTTATAGGAACCTAATTATTTTAAAGGACTGCTCAAAATGAACTAGAATTGGAGGATGTCTAAAAAATAAAGAGCAACAGAAACAAAGGCCTTTCTCTTTGTGTGAGAATACAGCTCTCAAGTTTCCTAACAGCCCCTATCACTCGAAACCTCTACCCACCCCCATCTCCACCTCTTCCCCTCAATGGCACACCTGGGAGGGGGGTGGGGGGCTGCATCCTGGCCTTACCTCTCCCTAACCCCTGACCTTTAGCTTCTCCCTGCTTACTCTACCTTTTTCTCATCATCACCATCACCAGTGGGTGCTGTGAGGAAAGGTGTGTATGGAAAGGTAGTTGGTAGAAATAAAAAGGAATCAGTGTTTCTTCCCAGATCGCTGGCTGAAGATAGGATAATTTAGCTGCCTGCATTCCAGGTATGCTGAACTCAGAGTAGAGGAATGTACCGTCTCTTTCAGGCCACATTCACACAGTGAAACAGTATACAGGGCTGCATTTGTGTCAGCATGTTGTTATCAGTGAGAGGATGGCATACAAAAGTCCAGTTTAATGGCTAATCAAAGATACACTGAATGAGGGTTTATATTCATTTTTAAATTCAGATTGTGCAATGTGTGAGGAGGAAATACAACTGAAATAGCACCGTACTACAAGGTATTCAAATTGTTATGTGCTCTTTAATGTTTTTGGTTGACCAGTGCAGTGTGTCGGTGGATCGGATTAAGTTACAAGTTTGAAAACCGACCAAAATGTGTCTGTAACATGAAGCATAAAGAACAAAAGTTTACATGTTTGTGTATTTGTTGATCAGATGCTGCATTTCCTGATCTAAATAATGACTAGGCTAATATTAGTCTGCATTTAGACAAAGATCTTGTATGTCTGTTTGTAATGCGGCATTAAACACTAATTACTTGATGAAAGTGGAACATTTTAAAAAGTCTTCTGTAGAAAAACGTGTTCCTCTAACTAAAGTATTGAATAGTATTATCTCACTATTGGTACCAAAACTCATAGCAGCACTTTAGCCGAAAGAATTAGTGGATTAGTCAGTCTAAAAAAATTTAATTATTGGTTTACCATTTAATTACCGGTAAGTTTATTTAAGCAAAAATGTAAATATGTGCTGGTTCCTCTGTGACCGTAAATTAAATGTCAAGCAATTAGAAGACGTCACCTTGGGCTCCAGGACAAAGGGTATGTTTCACTATTTTCTGACAATTGAGATCAATGAATCAGTCAAATAAGAATTGACAGATTGTTGCATAATGTAAATAATAATTAGCTACAGCCCTAATTAGCACTTCAGAGGATACTTACAGAGGCCTTGTTGTTTGATGATATTGGATTGTGCTGCAGATAAAGAAGAAGAACCTTTTTCTTTTGCTCTCCAACCCTGTATTTTTAGCTGGGGCCTCTTTGGCTGCACCCCTGCTGTGCCAACTCATTGAAATGAACGAAACCACTGTTTTGTCATACAGTCTGTAATACACACAGGAGCTAGTTCTTTTTTACAGTAAATGAAACCAGTTTGTGGCTCATACTGTAACTCTGAAGTTGCTTTGTTTTTCCTTTTTTCAAAGCTTTTCAGGGCATCCCATCTCTCTCATGTGCCCAGTCACCAACAGTAGTAAACCAGAAGAATAATCACAGAGCACAATGAGGAGATTGACTTGCACTGTGTGTCTCTCTTAAGATCAAAGAGGCTTGGGTTGTGTGGAGATTGGGGGCATTGATGGCTTTTTATGGCAGTGTCTGTGTGGACATAGCAGTCAAGCAGCAGACAGAGCCCTGATCCAGAGGATATGAGGGTGAGAGAATGGGGCAAGTGTGGACTGGGCTGTGGAACGAGCCCTGGTGGGTGTAAACAGCCCTCTTTCTTAGTGCTTCCTGTTCTGGTGGAGAGATGCCATTATTGCCTCTCTGCTAATTACCCCTGTGGCCTGTTGGGCTGCAGATCCCCCCCCCTCACCCCTCCCCTTCATGCTCTCTCAGCCATTCGCTCTCTCCTGCCCTGCTTAATGGTCGGTCGCAACATCAGTGGTAAAACTCGCACTCGTAGGAAGACGTCCCACTCCCCGAGACGTGGGCATAAAGAGGTAAATGAGGTCCATGAAAGACGGCCACAATAGCTGTGGCAATACAGGCATAGTGTTCCACCTCTAACTGCAGCTCGGAAAAGTCAATAAAGCCCCTGTTTTTAGTGTTTGGTTGCCATGGTTTTAGATTAGAGGCCAAGATTTACCCCAACAGAAGGGTTGTTGTCATTTCCAGCTGGATGCATATTTTGACAAAGCCGATACATAACTTGATAATCCTAGCCTGTTGATACAATACTGTAATTCTGCAACAGCGACTGAATAGCACTTTGTGAGCAGTGTGTTGGTGTGTTTATAGGAATTGAGAAGTTGTTTTTGAACGGTTAAATGTCACACTCGGTATACATCAGTACAATAAGGAATCTTTATTTAAAGGGAACACTTAAGCCCCCTGTTTAGCATTTATAAACAGTATATGAACATTTAGTTTATAGCACACTATAATGTAGTTGTAAGATATGAGGACATTTTTACGTGTTTTGAAATTTTATATTATTACAACTATGTTTTACTCTGTCATTTATTATCTGTTTATACACCAGCCTCCACTTACTAGTGCCCACGGGAGTTCTAGTTGTTGATTAATTAGGTTCAAGGTATTAATAAGGTTTTTAATTTGTCATCATACAATACAGAATTACACAATAAAATGCCGTAGTCGTAAAGTCGTAGCCTCCCCCCAGCTACACGCACAGAAAATGTATACACAGTAAAGTATTTAAATTAGAATAGAGTATAAACCGTAAAATAGAACAAGCTCTTTGAAATAAGAAATAAAAAGGAAACTAAATTTATATTTAAGATATCAGCTCACAACTACACAACCATTTAAAACAGAACTTTTAGTCCAGGAACTACTTTCAAATGAACTAAAAGGTTCATTCAGTCTTGATTTGCAAAGACAAAGCATAGGCACGGTTGGTCCACTGACGTATGAAAGAGTGACAGCTGTTTTTACACGTCATTACTTGCGACAACCTGCCCCAGACTCATCGGTCCATCTGTCATATGCTTTTTTCTGTAACTCCATGCGTTGAAACACAAAGAACAAAAAACAAACTTAGTGGCTGCTGATTTTTAAAAATAGTAAAAAGGAAATGAAATAAAATGCTGCAAGAATGCGACCAATTAAGCAGTACCGAGCATTAACTTTCTGGGTGCTAAAATAATGTTCCTGGAACTTAATTTAGACTCTGGTGCCTGCAGTGGAAACACACTGAGTTCCTCCAAAGGTTCCTAGTCCCTGGGGAAAGTTTCTTGCGCTTTGTGCTTTGGAAATGCGACTATAGTGTTTCCATATATTCCTACTTAAAGTTGTGACTACGGCACATGTTTTAGAAGGGAAGCCTGTATCAGAGTAACCTGACACCTCGCCCTCATTCTTTAAAGTTTGAGCAGAGGAGGCCTGTTGGAGTCTTGAATTAAAGGCAGAATTGCCGCTCTTCATTGGCCACATGGACCCCTGAGGCCTCGGGGCTGTTGCCATGGAAAGGAGGATTTCTTGGGATGAGGAGGGGGCTCACCGTAATGGCACTGCTGTAATGTCTGCAAGGATCTGAAGGGAGGGACAGGGACAGAAATATTTGGGATCAAGCTGACTGACCGTCAGTGTTATATTATATAATCCATTACAAATGCCCCACACTCTATAAGCCTATAGCGGTGCATCTCTAGGCTTCCCTGTTAGTGTAATAGCTCAGCTTTATGGCCAGATGTTCAGTAATAGTCAGCTTAATTGCTAATGCTTAGCAGGCACTTGTTAGGTTTTGTGGAATCTGGAGTAAGGCTCTTTAGAGCTGCCAATAAACGTACTCCATGTGGTTGCAGATGATAATGTTCATTGTGATATTGAGAGAAAGCAAATAAGAAACATTCTTTTGCAAAGATATATTATCACCCCATATCGACATGTTTTATCTTTGGCTCTGAACACTGAAAGAATTTAGGTTCTACAGTGAGATGTCTAATTTGCTCATTGTCGTGTTGTGACCTCTGGCTATGATTGTTTTTAAAAAGAAAAGGAAAACAAGAAGCATTTTACCATTAAATTAACTGCAACTAATATTTTCATTATTATTCATTCTATAGATTTCAAACACTTTGTTGTATAGGTTGAAACAAAAAACTGTCTAGAACCCCAAATAGTTCACTCTTTAACGATACAAAACAGAACGGTTGCAACTTATCACATTAAGGGAGCTGGAGTGTATGCCATTGTTGCTTGTTAACCCAAATAATTAATTTATTATCAAATTTGTTAGAGATACATTTTCTGTTGGTCAACTTATGTGTTAACTGACTGTTTTCACGGGATACTGTTTATGTAACACTTAATATAGGTGAAAAAGAGAATTAAAAACACTGTATTCCTACACTGAAGGGTTTCGTACCGATGATGTAACCAAATCCAGTCCAATCACTGTCTATGTTCAACTGCTGTAATACCACTTTTTTTTTTATCTTGCTAACATCTTGCAAACCCATCACAGTACAGGGAAAGCCTTAGTTAAATTCCTATGAGCATAAAAATGTTTAGTGTTTGGTGTAGCTTGTCTTTATGAACTGATATCTCTTGTCAAACTGTCCAGTGTGGCTGTGGAGTATTACTTGAACACTGTTCAGTAACCTCACTGTAACTTTTCCTTTGTTTCCAGGTAAATTTGAGGAGAAGGAGGACCGGGTTCCCAAACTGGAGCAGCTAAACTCACTGGGATTCATGTGCAGCCTGAACCTGGTTCTCAACAAGAAGGATCTGATCAAAATGGAGCTCCTGCTGCTGGAGACCTTTGGCTGGAATCTGTGCATGCCAACACCCGCCCATTTCATTGACTACTACCTCCATGCCTCAGTGCAGGAGGGCGACCTATACAACGGCTGGCCGCTCTCCTCCCTCTCTAAGACCAAGGCTTTCATGGAGAAATACACTCACTACTTTCTGGAGGTCTCATTGCAAGGTGGGTTGAGAGGAAGATGGTGGACTGGATTTGTTTGAATTCATTAGGTTGTGGTGTAAATTTTGATTTTAAAAATGTTTAAAACTCTCGTGTCTGTGGTTTTTTTTTTTAGACCACGCCTTCCTGAGTTTCCGACCATCGCAGGTTGCTGCTGCGTGTGTGGCTGCATCTCGTATTTGCCTTCAGATTTCCCCAAGCTGGACGACTGCTCTGCATTTACTAACAGGCTACACCTGGGACCACCTCACCCAGTGCATTGAACTCATGCTGCTGTAAGGGACACACATACACACACATACACACACACACAAAGGTCTAACAGAAAGCCGGGCTGGCAGACGAGCCTCTCGAAGTGTAGTGGGCTACTTGAGGTAGATGACATTAATCCCTCTATCTCTATATATATTTGGTTGCCATGGTTTTGGATTATAAGATGCTTGTTGTTGGCTCATAATGTTGCACGTGTCATCCTGCAAAGCCTGTCCTTCTGATACTTGTAGTTAATAGCCTCAGTGCTGTGTAATTTAACAGTAATTAAGTTGCGCCGTTCTTGGTCAGCAGGTGACTGTGTGTTTTATTTGTCTACATCTGTGTAAGTGTAATTGATGCACATGTTCACGCTAACTGCGTGGGACTAAAAATAATGTAGGTAAAGATGTTTTCTAGATAGATCTTTTATTCAGGTATGCACACAGTTTGTTCTCTTACTGCAATACAAGGGCTGATTTGGGTCTAATTCTCCACTCATCTACAGTCATTTACATAAATTGTGTATTTATTTTTCATTTGTCTTTTCTTTCCACAGTGCTCATGATAACGATGTTAAGGAGGCCAACAAGACCAAATCCACTCCTCCTCACCGACCCTCGTCTCTGCAGTCTCAGCCCCAGACCTCTCACCTCTCTCCGCTGTCAGCCATCCAGAGACCAGCCTCCTCCTCCTCTTCCTCCACCTCCTCGACACCACAGCTGCTCTTTCAGCCGGATGGCTTCCCACACATTTCCCAGCATTCCCCATCCCTGTCCCAGCTGCAAGCGTTAGCCGACTCCCAGGCTTTGGGGCCTGTGGTAAACATGTCTCAGGACTTCCTTCAGAGCCACAGGATGGGTCTCCTCACTGGGGCTCCTTCCATGACTCCTGGGGGTGGGTTCCCCTCCTACCCAAGCCTGACCTCTGGTCTCCAGCCGGGAGCTCGAGCTCTGCCGCTCCAGGGCCCCATTTCTGTGCAAATGGCCCTTGCTGGGGAGCCGCGCCATTGTCTGAGTATGGCCTATAGCGGAGGCTACCTGGGGGCTCATCACACTTTCACAGCTGGCTGCTTTGACAGGTGACGCCAGGAGACGGAGAGGGAACACAAACCCCTGCGGGAGTGCACTGCTATAATGCAGGCGCAAATCCCTACCCCGAAATATCCCTTTTCAGACCTCCTCTCTCTCTCCGTCAGCTCCGCAACACCATCAGCTTGTCCAGCGCCCTCGTCCGTCTCACAGAGACGACTCAAACGTAAGCAGAGGTCCAAAGGCAAGACAGACCCGGTGGAAGTCATCACACTGACGTGACAAAAGCTCCACAGACTCGTATAAAATACTGAGGCATTGCAAAAATGTTATTGCCATATTCTGAACTGGTTTTACAAAGCTGTATTATCATGAGACTGTCATCACTGTGAATGAGATGAAAGCAGCAGTGTGATTTAACACCCACCTCATTCAGTGCCTGTTCTCAGTCGTGTGATAGCTGAGCCAATTTTAGAAGTGCACAGAACACAAAGTATCTGTGATAAGGATATCTTGCTGCTTGACATATTTCTTTTTTTATTTCGAATCCCAAAAATTTTACACATTTTAGAGATGAAAATTTGGCTGGTTGTTATTTCCTAGGCCACCATTTGACAGAGATAGAAGAAAAAGAGGATTTGACAGGAAGTAGAAGAAGAAGAAGCTGTTGTAGGTCAGTGAAATTTTCCATTGTCTCCTGAAAGTCAACGATTGATCTAACTCCTGTACTCTCTGCTGGACCTGAAGGGCCCCTCTGGGAATTCCTCACCACATAAGCTCTCAGAGGGGACGAAGAATTCATTGTTTTGAGCACAGCAGGCGAAGTCCGCAGCTCGAACACGCCTGCAGTGTTTGGTTTTATTTTTCTTTCCCCCCTCTCTCTCTCTCTGTCCTGGTCATCTCTTCTCTCCCATCTCCAAAGTCGAGCCTTGTGGCAGAGCCGTCACAAACCCGGGTGAAAACGTGACCCTTTGGCTTTGAAGAACTAAAGTTTTAATTTCAGTGTCTCCGGCACCACTCAAAGAATTTATCACAAACTGATGTGACTGGACCAGCGTGGTGAAGGAGACGCGGACGTCGGTTGTGTATTGTACATATGAATTGCTGCTGCCTTCTTATGAACTGTTGGTTCTGTGTCTGTGTTAATGACTCCAATGTTTACATGAACCACTAAGTATCAGGGACTTGATCAAGATTACTTGAATATGATGCCATTGAAACATGCCATAGCTTTTATTTATGATCAATTTGTTTTCATGCTCTTGATTTTTTTTTAAATTTTATTTCATTTTTGTTTGATGTAGTGTAGCTTTTTATACCAACGTAGAAACATACCATTGATTAATTATAGTGTTCCTTGTGTAGTGTTTCTTTGTGAAACTGTATTTAGGCTCAGGTTTCAAGGCTGAAGCTAGCAGCCTTCCCATTATTCTGTGCTATTATGCTTTAAAGTGGATGCTTAATGCAGCATCTGCAGGGGCTGGAAAATTCCCTTTCTTCATCACTGGACCGTATTCTGCTTACAAGTCAGCAACTGAACGCACAAAACAGTCTGTTTGCATCGCAGTGGAACAACCTCGTGGTCATCGGTTTCTCGCACAAACATCTGTAGTCAGTCGACGGTAATTGCTTCCCAGATTTCCAAAGCTGCAATGCCCAATCTTCCACTTCCTGTTCACGTATAAACACATCCAGATTCCCAGTGTTGGTCACAAGGGTTGCCTACTGGTTGCCATGGCGATGCTGTGAACCCCAAGTTTTGTGATGATGACTGAATTATGACTGAATTAGTGCTGCAACTAACAAGTATTTTCAAAACTTCAAAAATCAATCTACTAAGCTGTATTCACACTGCAAGCCCTAGCCCTCATTTCTGATGTATTGATTAGATCTGATCGCTTTCTTTTTAAAAAGGCCCATAAGATTCCAGTGTGAACAGGTCACAGTCCTGAAGTGATCCATATGACTAACACACAGAGAGAGTGAAATATATGGCACACTAATTCTGAAACGACTGTTGAATTTGAGGTCACATTGCAAATAATCAGACCTGTATCTGATTTGGATCACACATTATTATGAAAGTGGACCAAATCAGAATTAAAAAGATCAGATTCGATGTAATTTGTGTTGTTCACACTGTGATGAAAAAAAAAAAAAACTATCTGAGGCCCAAATCAGATTTGGGACACTTGTGCCTGCAGTGTGAACATATGGTCCGTTTTTTTTTTTTTTTTAAATGATAGAAAATAATGAAAAATGTGTGTTATAAATTCCCACAGCTCACAGTTTTATATTCAAATGGCTTATTTTACATGACCAGCCGTCCAAAACCCAAAGATATTAAGTTCACTGTCATTTATGACAATGGGAACTGGACAGAGAATTTTGGGCATATTTGCATCAAAAATTACTAAAATTATTACTTTTCTGTCGGTCCGCTAATCGATTAGTCCACTAATCAGTGCAGCTCTACTGTGTAGCCCAACTTCTGGGATAATGTTGACTCCACTGAAACTTAATACTCACTCGGTGTTGTGGAAAATCCGAATGATACGACGGTTGCCATTTCTCACCTGAACCTCTTATTCGTGCGTCATTTGAAAGTTCTGACTGAAGACTTCAAACTGTTTTGCTTTGGACTTTGGACCATCTTACCATGTCGTGCCTCGTCCTCAGCAGCTTGAGCTGTGAACCTTAAATTCATAGTCGGCCATGTTCTTTTTCTCAGATAACACTACATGAAGCCTTCTGAAACTGCAACTCTCAAACTATTATCACGAATCACCAAATGTTTTTGTTTTCCCGCCGCTGAAAAGGACGCGTTGATGTGCATCTCAGTGATATGAAGATGCTTTTTTTGTTTTAACTTTGTCTGTACAGTTTTGTTATATTTTTTACATTCCCTTTCAGCGTACTTTAGTTTAAGCTTTTTTTTGTGATTCTCCTGATGAAAGCTGTTGGTGTGAACTAGATTTTTCTTTTAGAGTTCAACTTGCTCTTTTCCTCATAATTCATGAGCAACTTCTCACTGAGGTGTCCAAGGTGCAATATGTTTTTTTTTTTCCCGTTTAAACTGACCACAGCCATCACTGTCTTGTGTACACCACTGGTTCATCTTTTGTAACTTATTTTTGATAATTGTGTGATTTGACTTGCTGTAGCTCGATCCCCTCTAGAGGGCAGCGGGCTCTGAACACAATGAATATGTTGCATATTGCAGCCACCTCCTTCTTTTGAGTGATATAGATATTACTGAACACTTTTGTCTTTTAGCTTTTTAGAGATATACCGTGCATTTTTCCCTCCAGTGAAAGGTGCTGTCGTCACCCACACCAAACAACACTTTGTCTAATGTGATAGTAACGAAATGACACCACAAACTTCCAATTTATATTTTTGTATTATTTTGTACCAATTTGTAGTCTTGGTTTATGTGACACTGAATGATGGAAGGGATTCTTTTTATCATAATGTGCCATGGAACAATAAACACACAAGTGAACCGAGTTTCCGAGGGATGTGTTTTCTTTACTTAAGTGCCTGCAGCTTTTAGGGAATGATGGTTTCCACTGCTTTGCTCCAGTTGGTTCAGAGGGAAGACAATGCAACAGCTCCAGTGATAAGCCCAGCAGGTTTTCACACAGTCCTCCAGCTGTGAGCACATGCTGTCAGTGCGACGCATTATTCATTAAAACACTGTATTCTAAACCAAACTAAAGCTAATGCTGGACTGTGACCAAGTACTGTACTCTGAATACAGTTTAGTGGAAGTTGTGCTTACAATGAGATTTTTGTGGGTGGATTCACAGCTGATGTTCTTCCACACATTAAATTATTCATTATGCCACCATGTTTTTTTGGCACTTAACTCCTTCCACATTTTCTGACGTAGGGACTTAATTCAAACATCTAAGTATTCAGCTCTATTAGGACATTCTGGCTTCTATTTAAGTTTCATACTTTCCCAACACACACCTGGAGAAATGTTCAAAATTCAGAGTTTTTCATTTATTTTCAACTCTTATGTAGTCATTAATACTTTCAACTATACACTCATTCACATTTTCCAGTGTTCCACACATTTCAGGTCTTATTCAGCTTTCAAATCCCATCCCTATTTGCTTATTTACAATAGAAGTCAATGAGAAAACCCTTCAAACTCCCTCATTTTCAAACCACTAAAATCATACATTCACATAGAAACTCGATTCAATCTTCCAAACGTTCATGACATCATCTTCTCGCATTAATTCAACATATGGATGGATGAAATCTGACGCCATCAAAGCACTGGTGCCATCTTGTGTTTTCTATGTGTAATATAACTATATGACTACAAGAAGTGTGCTTCTTACAAATTATAGAAAGTAAGCTCTGACGAGGGCTGTTCTTTAGTTTTTACACTCTTAAGCTTTCCTAATAATTCATACTCTTCCATACTTTCTCCACCACTGACTGAAGCACACTTTGTATTTAGAGTCAAATCAAAAGCAAATATTTTAATTTCTCATTCCCACACTCGTTACCATGGGAGGAATACTATATCCATGAGCGCTGCTGCTTTTCTGACTGCAGACAAAGTTATTATTCAACACTTGAGAAACAAGTCCAGGCTCTATTCTTCTTCATAACTCCACCTCCGCAGCTCAATCAGAGCTTTCTGTGTCTTATGGCATTTCGATATATAGAAATCTATTCAGTGATGGGGCTCTCTCTCACACACAAGACATTATACTCCTATATAATGCTTGCAAATAGATCGCCCTTCTCATGTTGTTGACTGGAAGTCTTTGAGCCATAGCTCTGTTCTTTCAAACACAGTAGAATATTTATTTTATCTTAAAGTTGTTTGTTAATTTTTTTTTCCGGAGTCAGAAATCTGGAACATAACCATGTGAAAATGCTTAATCATATCAGCTCACGGATCTTTAATCACAATGAAGTTAGATAAGAAACGACAAAAATCAAGTCTTCACATAAGCCTGCTCAAAACATAATTAACTTGGCACGTGATAAAAGAGCAATCAGTATCTGGCAGTGCTCTCATACACATTACTTACATGATTTGGTTAAAATAAAAGTATGTATTGATGTTGAGATTCAGGAGAATGTTTCAAGATCTTAAGTGTTTTTTTGTGTGCCCAATCTGTAAAGGGAGGTGGAGGGGGTGGAGACAGGGGAGTGCTCAGAGCCGTCAGTCTGATAATGGATCAGTTTCACAACCACCTGTAAGCTTTTGTATGTGGGTCTAAAGAAGCCGGCTGCTGGCTTCCTTTTGTTTGCCCACGAGGAAGAATTTGGGAAAACGGTTGGTTGGGGGTGGAGGGAGGGAGTCCCACCTCTTTAAAGTGCTTTAAACTTACAACACAACATTTAATCAGCAGCATTGTAGGAATCATTTGACTGCTGAGCCAAATCAACTCCCCTTTCATGTATGTAACACAAGGTAGGAATTAGATTGTTAACTGGTTTGTACTAATTTCATAGATTTTTGAGGGGAAGGATGTGTGTGTAATTAAAACACAATATTCACTAATATGATAAATGCATTTAGGTTGGTCCTGATTTATTAACTGATCTTGTGATCTTGTTTAATACAGGGGAGCAAAAATCTAGTTTCCTTGCTTTAACATTTTTTACATCGACATTATGCTGTCTGTCTGACTCTTAAACCCATCACCAATCCTGAATTTGTGTGTTACATTAATGCACTTTAATGCAATATCATTATATGTCACACTGCTAACTTGCACATTCCCGCGAAATATAAATATTTCTCTATGTTTATTGTAATGCACCAATTTACCAAGGAAAATTCCTTGTATGTGAAAAATGTGTGCAAAAATGTCTATTTTGTGTTGCTGTGAAGAATTATTATTTATCCCCCCAGAAACATGGTGGAACGTATAAAACACAGCCTGTTTGTGGTGATATAAAAGCAGTTTCCAAGAAAAGCAATTACTATGGAATCCAGTAAGTGTCAATAATAAAAACTGCATTTACACTCTTTAAGTCCATGAGGAAAAAAGCTATCATCAAACTATTTGAAGGATCATATGTTAGTATTGCTTTTGTTTAGTTAATGTTTATTTTATTCTCAGTTGAATTCAGTTATTCAAAAGTTAAAAAGTAAAAGCAGGCCTCTGAATTTCAGCTTTGAAAAAGTCCCATCTGTATCCTTCAAGGATCACATGACCAAAAAGCTGCTATCCTTCCTTGTGATGTATGTCACACTCATTAAAAAGCAACTCCATGACAGGAATCTTGTGATATGATACCATAAGTAGGATTTTTGCCGTACATGAGCTGCGTCTTTGATGAAGAATTTCAAATTTTTCTCCTTTTTTATGGTGAAATGCAGCATGACAAATGTCCAGGACGAGTGGCTGAATGTCAACAGGACTGTTACAGAGGGAGAAATGGATTGGTGTTTTCACCACAACACAGATGAATAAATGGAGACCTTTTATTTATTTTGCCACTATGTAGCAGCATTCCTTCATTAAAGGAGCACATTGCTAAACAAGTTCAAGATAGATAGATGCTTTATTGTAATTGCTTATTAAACACTATGAGGATTAGTATCTCAAACTTCAGGTAGGCAGAGGAAGGAAGTGATTATTATCAACAAAACAAACAACTCATTTAATGCATTGAAATAGATCAAAGGTTACTTTGATAGGCAAAGTCCCTCTGGTGTTTTATTGAGGTATAAGGGTGCCTCTCAGTGGTGACAATAGAGAAGTGCACTTGTTTCATGTAGCTCTTCAGTAGAGGAACAGAGAGGACTGGTAACATCTGTAGACTTAAAACAAAACAGCATAAAAATGTCTCATAAATAAAACAAGCAACAGGCTGACAACAAACAGTAAACTACATCAAGTTAGCAGTATTCATTAACAGGTGCATTCAGGGGTCAAATAGTCCTTAATTCTGTTTTTGTAATCTTCCATGCTTATAAAATAATCTAGTTTAAGGCGACTCTATAGCTCACATCAAGATGAGGATGCAAAAACCTTTATTATAGATTTTAAATTGTGTGTCTGGACTCGGTTTATGTCAGTGAAACCATGGTGACCTCTGCATTTTGGTGACCTAAACATACAGTATGTAATATCTGAACTAAAATATCAGTTGTAAAAGAAAGAGGAGCAGTAAATGAAATGTTTTTAATTATATTATCTCCAATTTCAAATCATTAAAAAATAAAATAAAAAGTGTCCTCTTTGTACACTGGTCACATTTACATCGATCGATAAGTTCATTTGACTTCATAATTCGCTTATCAATACATTTCTTCATTACTGTTATAAAACATGGAGATGTGGTGTTTCAGAGGTCTGGAATGAGGCTGTGTTACACTTGGAATGAATAGCTTTCAAATATGATAGACACCTTACAATACACTGCATTGTTTGTAATTCAGTGCAACAACACTAAGAACCTCAATAAAGACTCATTAAAGTTGAGTGAACACCTACTGTATGTGACACATTCTCAATAAACAACAGTTTTTGTTGCATCTTGAGCTATTGCATTGTATTAGTTTGAACAGGTGTTCACGACATTGTGTTCATGAAACCAGAACCTCCTAAGGCACAGTTCACATTAATCAAATATTTATTAAAATATATTCTACCACCTGGGCCGAGCCGAGGCCCGGATCTGCTCAGCTGCTGTGCCTGCGGCGGTTCATTTTTTGCTTAGTAATGCTGACAAAGGACCCGACATACCCAGCAAATATTTGATTTAATTTAGATTATTTGCATTTTAAAGAGCAGGACAAATAAGCAATAATAATAAGAGAACAGAACAAGATAAAAAAAAAAGTATGATGAGGCCAGATACCAAACAGACTTAAAGAGGGGCCTCATTTGTGTTACACAAGAAAAGAGTTAACTAAAATGGGATTTTTAACAACAGCTGTAAGATAAATATTCCAAACTTTAATCTGTGTTTCCTTCCAATCATTCGGGGACGAGACATAGATTTCTTGTACGTAGGGGGAAAGAAAAAGAAGTCTGATCTAATGGTGAAAGAAAAAAGAGAGAGGAAAAGTGTACACACATCAAACAACATAATTCTGTCGTCTCTGAACTTTAAACCTAAAATCTGTTTATAATCTGCAGTCCCTGTAGGCTGCAGCTGGTCTCTCTTTGCAAATAGGGATCGTCATCTACACAAAATATACTACAAACAGTGTGTCCATGCAGATCCTCATCATGGTGATCTCTTATTGAATGAATGTCTCCTTTGTGTAATTGTATAATATACATTATTTTGCATATACACAAACAGTGATGATAGAAACATGGCTAAAAACGTTTTTGGAAATACTCTTAATTGTATTCTTGCAAGTTAGATTTTAGATGAGAAGATTGATACCACCCTCACATTTGTAACTGCCAGTTATCTGAGCTTGGCTCTGTCCAGACGTGACAATCACACCTTTAAAACTCAATTATTAACATGTTCTGTCTTGTTTGCAAACAGAGGTTTTTCAGGG